TTTTTTTTGCAATAAATTTTTTTTGGCCTTTTAAATATATAGGGCCAATTTTACTAAACAATGCAAATTAGCGCGAGAGTGCAATTCCAAAACAGCGCCGATTAGTGTGGAAATTTTTGTGGGTGATTTACTAACAAAGGCGCACATTAAAGAACACAGACGCAACATCTCATTTACATATCGACCAATGCAATATACCAAGCACAGCACAAATTAGCGTAGTTGTAAATAAAGAAATAAAGAAGCCACAGTATGTTGAAAAGAACCGGAGGCCAAAAAATGAAGGTTTGATAGACCTGGTATTGCGTGACTTCAGGTTCAAAGTGGTCTTTTATTTCCTGAAGCAAATTAAAAGTAACATGGCTTGGCAAACAATATGTTCGGACAATGTGTTCTTCTTGCATTCCAAATAAATTAATAGGTGTGGAAAAAATCCTCTCCCTTCTACTCGTGCTCTGTTCTCTGCAACAATTTGCAGCCATTTTAATCGCAAAATAATTTAAGACATGCTTTTTTGGGTGTTAAATAATGGCACAAATACCAGTAATTTGATTAGCACAAATGTTAGTAAATCTCATTGCGTGATTCATTTGAATACTCTCTTCCCATACATTTTGCAACTGAAACTCCTACGAATGCATATTCAATAAGGTCAGGTGCAAAAATAACTGTGTCCATGCCTTTTCAGTGCTAATTCGTCACTGCGCGTCTTTAGTATAACATGACAGTACTATTAGACGGTTTGCGCTGGCGCAAGCTGTTAGTAAAACTGGCCCATAGTTTCATAATTTCGCCTTTTCCCACCAGGGACACCTGTATTCTGTAGATTAGAGAAGGTGCTCACAAACAAGAGGATTCTGAAGGATGTTGAGAAGCTGAGCCCTCACCATCAGACCTCGTCACTGGAGGCGTTTCACAGCGTAATTCGGCGTTTTGCGCCCAAGAACATTGTCTTTGCTTTTCTTGGAATGTTATGCAGGTAACTCAGTACAGTAGTATTAATCTGGAATGTTTACATATGTCAAAACACACACAATAACACACGTATGACCTAACAAATGTTTAACCATTATTTTTCCTCTAAAGACTCTACCTGGCAGCCCTACATTTTAATGAGAATGCTGGGCGTCCCCAAGCCACGACAGCAGCTGGTGAGCCACTATATAAGATCAATCTTCCAAAGAGCAAGAAAGGACAATGCACTGCAAAGCCAGTGAAAGCAGATTCAACTTTTCGTGAGTTTAACAAGCTTTTATTTAAAATTCTAAATAAACATTGTAGATACAGACATTATATCACAAGCAGAACATAAATAACTGTTGTATTATATTGCTTTTGTAAAAAATAAACCTGTTAAAAATAATATAAATACCAATAAGTGACAAATGTGCAACTGCTTCAGAGTCATTATTAAAACTATTTAAAATATATTTTTACAGACTACGTGGACAACCTGATGGACCTCATCTTTGAGAAAGTTGTTATGGACCCAGCCCCATATGTGGATGAGGTCCTGAAGATCTCCACACCTGAGGATCTCACATCCCAGTTTGAGAAACCAGACAAACTGGAAGTGATAGCCAGCTACGTGTCTAGGTTCAATCAAGGGCAGGTCTGAAGCCTACATACCTTCCCTGAGCATCAGGGAACTCTGCCCTTATTCCTTGCACCACCCAAACAAGTTTATTTTTTTTAAAAGAATGTAATTTAGTATAATTATTACATTTATTTTTGTATTCAGTTTTGCTGTGCCTGCTGTTCTATAGAAAAACTGCTTAAAAACCTCTGTGGTATTCAGTACAACAATCATTCAGACAATAAATGTTTGTACAAACAGTTTTGTGTCCTTTCTGTACTTGCTATGTTACATTAAATGTTATGTTGGTATGTGACTTTAAAAAAGTTACACCTAAGATGAACAGTTACCCAAATGGAACAGTACTTTATGCTTTGCTCCTCAGTCATTTGTTACAATAAAAACTGATTACTCAAATGCATTAAAACACAATTTATGCTTCTATTCCCCTTAAATCTAAAGACCCATAGTCTGCCCTATAGATGTTTAATGCATTCTGAAGGGAGAATACATTTAAACAAACAGGTTCTAGCCTAGGCCAGGATGATCCACCATGCATTCTGGAGCTGTTGTAATCTTGAAATCTTGAAAATGTGAAAAGGTACGTGACCTGAGATATTTAAAAGATGACTGCATAATAATAGCAATTCAATTCAGGGTGGGGGTGCAGACAGGGGCCACTTGTGCTTTTATGGGGCACAATTTTAAAATTCATCTTAACCTACTTTTAAGTATTATTCATTCAGTCATTTTTCACCATGTCATGTATCACTACAATCTATAAGTAATCTATAACAATTTCAACTAAAATGAATGTTTCATTTATTTGACAAATAATTTTGTAGTGTCGGGTGCATCATGCACTCATTATTTTTGAGGGGGCACAAGTGAGGGGGGATATAGGCTTATACTGATATAGGCTTATGCCCCTACTGAAAAAAAACCCCCAATAAAACCATCACAGAATCAGATCACTGTGTAATCTTTATATTTTACCATGCAGATATATGCATAGATAGATATATATAGGATTAAGAGGGGAGAACTTTTCAATGCAACTGTACTTTTCACAATATTTGATTAATTTTTTCACTGCTGCCTTATTTTAGGAAAGGTGTAGTGAATAAGAGACCTTCAAGAGACCAACATCCCTGGTCCTCCACAGTATCAAGTTTTGTCAGGTATGCGGATACATGTTGGATATGCTATAGTAATGGCCCTTTTTTCAGTTTCTGCACACGCCCCTCAAAAGGTCTGTGCATGGCTCTGGTCATACAGATAAAAGCAAGACATTTTGCAGAATAAAGAAAATGGCTTTCTGGCTCGTTTTCCTTTCCTTGAACTTTGGATCGCGTTGCAATGAACTGAAACTGCAGCACATTTTTTTCTTTCGTTTTTTTAATTAATATGCGATGGCGCCGCAGACGGCAGCCTCAGTGTTTGGCTCTCCAGTGTTTGTACTGTTTTTGTTAGTTTTTCCTGTTTTCTGTTTCTTAAACACGATCAGTTTTACCAGGGATGAGCTGCTGAACATTCGGCAGAACACACCACACAATCTTCTACCGGATTTCGTTTATTCGGACGTTTTGCTGAACGTTGTACTTGGCGGAGCAGCTGCGCTGATCATGCTGTTCCGAACGGCGCAGACGGGGGAAGATAGCGTACAGTATGTGCAATAACCTTATACTTATTTATCACCCTAAACCCTAGTACATCCCTACAACTTATTTTATTTATTCTATTCCTATTCCATCTATAGCACACCTGTACATACAATTTATTCTTTTTTTTGTGGTTTATATTTATGCATGTGTATTTTATTCACATCTCATTTTTATTATCTGTGTGTTGTTGTTGTCTCCGTGTACTGGAAGCTTGTGACACTATAACAAATTCCTTGTATGTGCAAACATACTTGGCAATAAAGCTCTTTCTGATTCTGATTCTGATTAATCTGTTAATGATTTAATTTAAATTTATTTTGTGAAGGCCTATAGGCGATTCCTTTTTATGTATATAGTTTTATTATGTTTTCTCTGTTCACAGACATGCTGACCTTGAATCCACGTTCTACAATATTCTGCAATTTCTGCTGGTTTCAAAACACGCAACAAGCTGCATATTACCAAAGACTATAGAATGCCCAAGACATGTCACTCGTTTAGTTTTGAATGGGGAAAAATGCAACGCTCAATATGGCCGCTCAATCGCAGGAAGCCCCGCCTTCTGAATGAAAGAGCCAATGGCTAATCGGTAAAGTCAGCGCGTCACTGCAGCTGCCGTTAGAAGTCCCAGTTGCTATAGAAACAGTCATCGTTCTGAGACGTGTGCTTAGGACTGTGCAGGCGCACTGGCTGATCTAGCCTGAAAAATAACATTTCCCCTGGGGGGAATCCCCGCTGCCATTTTGAAGTGCGTTCCACTTCGTGAAGTGGACCAGGGAAGTTTATATGGACAGACCCTCGACCCCTCGATTTTGACCGAGGGAGCGAGTCTGCTTCATATGCACACTTCAGGCTGCTCTGTAGACCACAATGCAACACGACTATGACGTAATCGCAGATCGCGTTTAATTTATCCCCACCCCAAACAACTCTATAATATATAAATGATTTTTTTTTACATTTATAACAGCCCAAACATACCTATATACGTATAGCATGCTGCACCGAACAAATTCATAAGGAAAAAATTTAAACAATAAACCAACTCCATAGCGGATTCTAAGTGATCAAGGGCTTAGGACGTTCCAGTTCAGCCCATTCCAAGGGTTCCGCCAGAAGTGGGCGCTCATGCAATGTAATCAATGATGTACATCCGAATAAATGAGACGGAGGGAAGTTTGTGAGTGAAGGGCATAAAAAAACGGACTGGAACGCAGCCTGGAACGTTCGCTCCCTGAAAAATCCCACAATGCACTGCAAAAACTAGGGAGCATAGGTGCTCACTATGCTCCTTTACCGGAACTAACGTCACATTTCTGAAGCGCAAAACATAAACCACACGAGCCAACTCGATAAATATAATGACTCGTGATAGAAGATTTGAAAAGACAAACCGTTTTTTAGTATATTTCAACATAAACACACATTGCTAGACAGGAATTGAACACATCATATTAACATTTATAATTAATATTCGGCTGAAATGTTGTAAGAACTTGTACCAGAACGATGTGTTTAAAGAGAATAAAAAATAACTATCAAAAAGAGATCGGTCCCGTCTGTTGTTTATTAATTCCAGTGATGACGTTCTACTGTTGTCAGTTGACGTTGTACGTAATCATGTCACTGGAATTCGAGTGATCACTGTCCCAACGTGCAGTGAGTCAGGGAACTTACCAGTGCCCGAATTCATGTACACGATCTACTGATCCACGAGCTCGGGAGCTAGGGAGCTGATTGAGACACACCCTTTGATATTACCAAAGTCCCTTTAAGGCAAGTCATGTCACTCGGCGGCCATCTTTGAAACGCCTCACCGGGACTTCTAACGGCAGCTGCAGTGACGCGCTGAATTTACCG